CCAGGTCCCGGAGAGGAGAACGCCTGTATTGCTGAAGGTAAGGACGTCTAAACAGGTAAACCTACCTTTAATCATTACCTATGCCAGGTATCTATGCTTACATGGCGAAAAAAACAGGAATGTAAACTTGATAATTAGACAAACATTTGTGTGCGCAGTTCTAGGCATGAATATGTGAATATGAAAAAAAGATTCATTGTCATGAAAGTCCATCTGTGTTGGTAGTTACATGTTTAAAGGTAAAACTTTTGGTCCAGCACAAACAGTTCTCTCACCTAGAGCTTTCGACCAGTCACTCTGGTCTTCCTCAGTAGGCTCAGGGCCCACCACCATTTACTCAACCGCGACGGGGGCCGACATCGTCCACCAGATACATTTGACCCAGTGTTCATCTCACACTTGAAAGAAGCCACGTGACAAGACTCACTGGGTCAGTCTACTGAGGAAAATCTGAGTGACTGGTGGAAAGCTCTGACAGAACTTCTTTTGTGTTGCAACAAAAGTTTTGACTTTAAACACGATTCATTGTCATTCACGCTTCTCTTTATTTCCAGGTTCCTGCCTGGACCTGCAGCTGCCTGCGGGCGCGGTGACGGGCGTGGGTTACACCGCCCCGGGCTACGGACCGGCGAACGTGCTGGTCGCCGGGAGCGCCATCTGGAACCCGCAGAAACTGCCCAGGTACGGTTACGTTACATTACCCTAACCCTAATGAGTACCTAGCCTCGGTTGGGGACGTCCATCGGATAGGACGTTAAATGGAGGTCCCGTGTTTGGTGAGAGCCACACGCACGATAAAGAACCCACCACACCTTTCAAAAAAGAGTAGGGGCATGCCCCGGTGTGCGATGGTACAACAACTAATACTGTCTGGAAGTTGGCCCGGTGATTCACTACAAATCACCCGGATGGAGGCCTGGTGAACCCCATCTCGTACTAGCCACAAAAGGCAGCAGAATCTTCATCTTGATGAAGGCGGTTACCTCAAATGAAAGAAAAAAAAAATAAGTGGGGTGCTAACGTCTAAATCTTACCTCGTGTAACACAGGAACTACAACAACTGGCGCATCGACTTCGACATGCAGAAAGCATACACCTTCTCCGCAGTCAAGATCCGCAACTACGGCGACACCACGCACGACGTCACCGCCTTCAAGCTGGAGACGTCCGACGACAAGTCCACCTGGACACAGGTGTTCTCCACCGGCAGCGTGCGCGCAGGTGAAAGTTTATTCCAATTACATCCATCCACCCATCCATCAATTATTCCATCCATCCGTCCATCCATCCATCCATCCATCCATCCATTCATTCACCCATCCATCTATCCTTCCATCCCTCCATCCATCCATCCATCCTTCCATCCATCCATCCATCCATCCATCCATCCATCCATCCATCCATCCATCCATCCATCTATCCATCTATCCATTCAGGCATCCATCCATCCATCCATCCATCCATTCATTCATTCATCCATCCATCCATCCATTCTTCATCCATCCATCCATCCATCCATCCATCCTGCAAATACATGCCCGAGGGCTTATTGCAAACACAGACAACATGCATGACAAAGACGATACAATGATATGAGAGTCTACGTGGTACTATGTGAAAGTTCATCTGACTGTGTTGGTAGTTACATGTTTAAAGTTGAAACTTTCGATCCAACCCAAACACATTCTCTCACCTAGAGCCTTTAACCAGTCACTGTGGTCTTTAGCTCAGTCAGTAGACGTGACAAGTCTCACTGGCTCAGTCTACTGAGGAAGACCAGAGTGACAGGTCGAAAGCTCTAGGTGAGAGAATTTTTGTGTTGGATCGAAAGTTTTTACTTTAAACACAAACATTCTTCAACATACGTGGTACTAATTTTGTTGGGTTTGACCTCTCAGGTGTGAAGACGCCTCAGCCTTTCATGGGGTTCTACGGGAGCGGCCGTTTTTGGCGCTTCACGGCCACCCGGACCGCGCAGGGATGGCAACCATGGCTCGTCGGAGTCCAGTTCTGCGGCATCGAAGGTAAGGACGAAAAGCTGCTGTCACGTATATATAAGAGCCAACCTTTAGACAATTACCTTGTGTTATTATGAGGACGGCCCGGAGGAGCTGAGAGCCTTGCCTCGTCGGAATCCAATCCATTCTTTACCCTTTGAGGAAAGTTCAATGTTGTCTCTTCTCTTTGAATAGGGAAGCCGAAGTACGAGGCCGTGAGCGTGCCGACCGCCGGGATCAGCGGGGTGGGAAACACGCCGACCAACGGGCCTGAGAACGCCGTGGACGGCAACCGGGGGACGTTCTGGAACCCGCAGGGTCTCCAAAGGTATATTTTTTATTCCGTTTTGGTCTGTTAGCCCCCCGTCAGGGGCAAGACACACCTCCGGGGTCCCACACTCGGCGGCAGGCCCTCTGGTAGCCTCTACGAGGCTTCGGGAGGCGGCTGGTATGAGTAGAAATCGGCCAGAGAGATAACATTCCAGGGGATTTTGTTTGCCGCTCTCCGAAGTAAGCTATTCGGAGAGCGGCAAACTGTTCTAGCTCCCCAGCAGCCAAAATCCCCTGGCATGTTATCTCTCTATTTGGCCGATTTCTACTCTTTCCAGCCCAGCCGCCTCCCAAAGCCTGGTAGAGGTTAGCCCTCTGGTGCCTCGCCATATTAAAGTATGACATCTCTCGGTCTCGGCCACACGACGGGCACACCCCATCCTCCCCATTGCCGGTTCTCTTTCGCTACTCTCCGGATCCGCACAAGCTCTTCTTAACATCTACTAGCCTCTACCAGGCTTCGGGAGTCGGGAGCGGCAAACTCTTCTCTCCAGCAGACCAACTCCCTTGACATTCATTTTCATTCATTTCATTTATTTATCCAGGTGATACATATCGCCTAGTCGGCGTTTTTCAATGATACCTGGGGGGTAAACCCCAACATAGTAAATTCTATCTCTCAATTTGAGAGATAGAATTCTACTATTTCCAGCGGCCTCCCGAAGCCTAGTAGAGGCCCCCGCACCCACGTACATGTCTGGCATAATTCCTTCTATAAGACCAGACCCCACACATACACCGCATTGTCTTCTGTTATCATGCACCTCCCCCCCCCCCCTCTCCACAGGAACTACAACAACTGGTGGATCATCTTCGACTTCCAGAAGGTCTTCACCCTGGCCGCGATCCAGATCACCAACTACGGGGACACCACGCACGACGTCACGGCCTTCAAGCTGGAGGCGTCTGACGACAAGGTGACTTGGAAGCCGGTGTACTCCACCACGGGCGTCAGGCCAGGGACGAACCAACCGCAGCTGTTCGGTGGCTTCTCCGGAACGGGCCGCTACTGGCGCTTCACGGCCACCAGGACCCCGCAAGGCTGGCAGCCGTGGCTGGTGGAACTCCAGTTCTACACCATCCCGGGTACGTGCTGTTGTGTTGTGTTGGGTTTGTTTTACCAGTAATTACAGCCCAGGCCATTTTGTGTAGATATGTTAACATTGTACATTTAAGAAAGCATCTGTAGCAGCGACACCTGATCTGCAGTGCAATGTGAACCAGTCAGAATTGCCCTGGTGAAGGTGACAGACGGTCATCGAAACCACTAAAAGACTTGGTTGTGTAAAAAAAAAGTTTCTTTACTCCATGTTCTACTCCACACAGTGGTGGAAGGGCCGGTGCAGGAAGACGCCACCAACACCCACTTCCTGGTGGTGGGGATGGCCCTGACGGCGGAGGAGGCCCGGGCGTACTGCAAGCGTCGGGAGGGACACCTGGCGGACATCAAGAGCACTATGGTCCATGACTACGTCGTGCAGACCATCCGCAAGTACAGCAACCCGAACGAGAACTTCTGGATCGGACTTCAGGACACCACGGTAAGAGGATACAGAGTGACGAAAATTAGTCTCCACCCCTTTGCAGGCTGTATAAATATAAATTTAATGTTCTTGCCTGCACAGAGCACGCAAGCTGGACCCTCTATGGCCGGCCAACTCCCCCTTAGCTGATTTCTACTATTTATACAGCCTGCAAAGGAGTCTGGTGGAGACCAGACGAAAAGGGCTAAGCGTTGAGGCCAACACTGGGTAAATTGAGAGAGAGAGAGAGAGTGAGTGAGTGAGTGAGTGAGTGAGTGAGTGAGTGAGTGAGTGAGTGAGTGAGTGATTGAGTGATTGAGTGATTGAGTGAGTGAGTGAGTGAGTGAGTGAGTGAGTGAGTGAGTGAGAGAGTATGTGAGAGAGAGAGAGATGGAGAGAGAGAGAGAGAGAACCTCTGCATGGAGAGGAGTCAGAGACTGGAAATTGTGTACGGATGCGTTGTTTGTTTTCCCTTTCAGGGCGGCCCTAGTTTGTAGTGTACTGATGCGTTGTATGTTTTCCCGCTTCAGGGTAGCTCCGGTTGGAAGTGGGCTGACGGCACGGCCCTGTCCGGGTGCTCCTACCGGAACTGGGCGCCCTCCGAACCCGACCCCCCGTCCAGCGGCCAGACCTGCGTGCAGATGGACGCCACCAACAGCTTCCAGTGGAAAAACGATTACTGCAACACCAAGAAGTTCTTCGTCTGTCAAAACGGTATGTTTTTTTAATTACCGTAGGAAAACTTTAAAAAACGTCATTTTTGCTACGTTTTCTCTTCTTCTTCCGTTCCAGACACTGACATCTGACCTGGCCAATGACCTGATTTGTTAACGTCTGTCACCATGGTAACTGGTGTTGGGTGACATAATGTTGCAATCTTATTGTAGGAAGGATTTAGTCTCCTGTCTGACCATATATATCAATGTATTTAAGTAAGAATTAACATAGCAGACCATGTGCGAAGATTAACATGATTATGCATTTGCTTTGCAAATGTTACCTTTTTTTAAATTCATTTATTCTAACATTTTT